TAAATTTGTGTACAGTATATAGTTCTGTATTTGATCACTTACAAGTCGGATTGCTAACACGGAATGTATCTGGAGTTGTTCATGCTGAACACCTCATGCTGTTATACAACATTCACCACGTTCAAGCTCCTTGTTATTCTACAAATATGTCTTGTGGCAGTTGTTCTCAGTTGACCTTTCGTGTTGGGTTTGAAGACTACTTTCATCAAGATCAGCTATCTTTTCATCGAAAGGATGGAGTGTTCAATTTAAACGAGATGGAAACTTGTTAAGGTAGTTTGGGTAATGTTGACACAAAGACAGGTGGTTTGTAAGGTATGGATGTCTTAAAGAAGACGGTTCTGGCCACATATTGTTGTTAGAAAAATGTTTTCTAGCTTTCCTTGGATACCGAAGGCAAAGCTGTGTGGTAATACTGGTGGTGATGAGGGCTGTTCTTTTGGTCTGTTTGCTTTTCAGAATTATATATAATACATGTAGGACGCGCTCTATCACACCTGACCATGCATTTAGGAGATGAGAGTCTCCAATCCCGTCTCATTCCCAACGTTCACATTTCCACGCATGGCTCAGTCACATGTATAAAAGTCATGTCTACAGCGTACAACACAAGTCCCCTCCTTCAGAAACATTGTTGCATGTCCGTTAATACTAATAGATTCCACAAGCCTCTTTCCAAGAATCATTGTTACATGTCCCTATGATCAAAAGTCAGATAAGATTAGTACACCAGGTCCAGGTTTGGTGATGGTGACAAACAAAAACAGTGTAAAACACTATCTATTTAACCTATAATTGTACATATACGTATTGTGGTTTTTTTATTTGGTTTCCAGTCTCCCAATTAATATTGAAATCACCATGCGAGGATGTGGGAGTCGCGTCACTAGTTGTCTTGGGGTACACGACATTGTCTTTCTCACTACCTGTTTTTTAGGTGTCAAACTGCCTATAGCATGCACGGGAAAGCTGGCGATTGTTATTGTATTTTATCATATGGGGGCTTGTTCGTGGTAACCTGATTCAGAGTAGTCCGGCAGATGAGAAAAGAGTACAATGTAGCTCCGCCCTCAATTCAAAGATCACTCGAAGGTACTGTCTGACCAATCGGCGAAATGCTTTTTGTGATTGACATTGGTCTGAATTGACGTGTGATCAATGACAAAGTGCGTGTTTCTTGTTACCACAAACTCAAAGGTAAATCTGGACCGCGTGTATTAAAAACATTGCATACTACCATAAATTCTCCTTCTTTAAACAGTTTCACATCGGCTGTAAATTATATTTTGGATAGTGTTTAAACACAAAAAAATATTGCGATGTTTTTTTTATGAATTTATAAACACCTAATCAAACGTACACATACTGGAACTCCATATTACTGACATCAGGACTTCACATAGAAATACGCTCAGTTTATTGTAGTTAGACGACAGCATGGTTACCATGGTGAAGTTTTAAGATGCTGCTCTACATTCTTGTTCGGAACAAATGGAACACTGACGCTCTGTGTCACCAAATCAATGTTATCTTTCTTAATCAAATTGGTAAGCACGTCACGTTGTGGCATATGCATTGCGAAGATTGTTCATCGATTACATCTGAATATATCGGTACAAAGGAACCGTTGTTTTGTGAGATGTAGTAATATTAGTTGTAGACGACAGGAATATTAAGCAGATTTACAAAAGACTTCAGAGTAATCACTACAATCTATCAACATCACTGTCGACAACTTAATCTCATTAAATGTTCTACACGTAGCACAGGGTGCTCGTCGAGGTCGATTTGAGATAAAAGTTCAATTTACTGATAGAATGGTCTTAGCATTCATGTACTGGAAGATTGACGTTATAAATGACACTCATGATGTTGTAGAGGCCTGTGGAAAATCAAGGAATCCGTATTACCAGGGTAAGACGGCATTAAAACAAAGACAACCATACTTTCCATAGTGATGTTCCCCCTGGTCAGAAAGTTCATGTTATCAACAGACACTAACCAAATGTGTAACAGTGGGTTAATTGCCCCACGCTTGCTTTCCTCTCCATATGACTGGTGCACGCTGGTAGTAGCACGTGTGACGTTCGATTCGTGTACACATTACTACTTTCTTCCTTATCTTTGTTTTCGTGAAGGGATTCCAAAATATTTCACGTGTAATGTATTTCAAGACAGAAGTGGATGTGCATTTTAAAAATAGATATCAAGGAAGAAACATATATAATATATATCTGTGACACCCATGTAGACAAATACAATCTGCGGCCATTCTGAGTTTTTTTACCATCGAAAATTCAACAGGACACATGTAGTCAGAGTACATATCTGAGGTGTTCCTGAAGTCAGTGATGTTGTGAAAGTACAGATCTGATGTGTTCCTAATGTCAGTCAGTTGTAAGGGTAGAGATCTGTGGTGTTCCTGATGTCAGTCACGTTGTGAGGTTACAGGTCTGAGGTGTTCCTGATGTCAGTCATGTTGTGAGGGTACAGATCTGAGGTGTTCCTGATGTCAGTGATCAGACATGTGTTCAGTTACATTGTAAAGTAATTGATTACATTACAATTACTTTCAATATTTATGATTACAATTACAATTAAATTACTCATATTTTTCAAATGTAATGATTAAATTATAATTACTTCTAGTATGTAATCATGATTACTTTTGATTACTTCTGATTACTTCATTTCACTGAAATTTTATGATAGGTTAAAAGCGAAATGGAAATCTAAGAAACAAAGCAGAATTTGTGGAATAACTGTTTACTTAAACTGAAATTTCAAATTTAGGTTTTAGATATATATTACATATACATGCTGTATTTTTCTGGTCATACACATTAATGATGTAAATATTCTGATAGGGAAAGTCAAGTTCATCACAACAACAAAATCAAACTGTTCACTAATATAACATGACTAAGGAAGCAGGTTAAGTATTTATTTCAGTATTGCACTTAATATTCATAAGTTTTTCAAAATTGTCGTCCTTTAGACGACACTTCTCTGAAATGAAAACCTTCAAGTGTTTTGATAAGTTCTCACTTGAAACTAACATATACCACCTACCTGTTCAGTGTTCTTAAAAGTTCTCACTTTAAACTTACATATGTATAGCACCTGACCTGTGTTCAGTGTTGTGGAAAGATATTCCTTTTCTGGGCTGCAAAACCCATGTCCACTGTGGTTATAAAAACTCATTATCTCATATTTATCAACTGGTGACCATAGCCCTAGGCACAGGTACAGTCAATTTAAAGGTCTGAGTACAGGTAAACAATTATTTATTAATATAAATGATCCAGTTGCCTTTAAAAATCAATATATTTTTTGTTCTACATTGGCTTTTAAAATCTTTTTGTTGTAGTTTGCCTACGAAGATATAACTTCATAATCATGGTAATGTTAATTGGTCCTCAAGTAATTTAAAACCTGAATTAAAATACAACTAAAACACAAATAATAAATAAATATAGGGAAAAAAATTCAATACATTTAAAGCTATTTTAGACATTCACTAATTTAAATGTAATCATACTTACGTAATCAGAAAGTAATCAAAAAGTAATCAGAATTACAGGAAATTCTAGACCTGTAATTGATTAAATTACATTACAAGTAATCAGATTTTCCATGATTACTGATTACATTTGATTACATGCAAAAATGTAATCAATTACAGCTGATTACAATTACAATTACCACATGTCTGTCAGCGATGTTGTGAGAGTGCAGATCTGAGGTGCTTCTGATGTCAGTCATGTTTTGACGGTACACATCTGAGGTGTTCCCGATGTCAGTCATGTTGTGAGGGTACAGAGCCGAGGTGTTCCTGATGTCAGTCATGTTGTGAGGTTACAGATATGAGGTGTTCCTGATGTCAGTCATGTTGTGAGGGTACAGATCAGAGGTATTTCTGATGTCAGTCATGTTGTGAAGGTACAGATCTGAAGTGTTCCTGATGTCAGTCATGTTGTGAGGGTATATATCTGAGGTGTCAGTAAATGGGTGGGATGTCCTGCAGGAGACCTGTCGGTATACGTTAGTGTGATATAAAGAAAGCTTTAGTCATAAAGAGATTTTCAACGCGTGCACTTTTTAAGGCCGTTATTAGATAATTAACCTTATGTTGATAAAACGTACTTTTTATCCTATTCCACACTGATGTAGTGTTTCAACAACAGTAATATAGTCACAGCCATGATATTGCTTTGTATTTGGAAAACAATACAAACTTAAAATCATACAAGAAGTTAGTTAACGAAATAATGACTTTCTATCAAGTTCTTTTGGTGTTTCTATTGATGGTATATTAAGATGGCGTGTAATGTAAGAAACAAGATGTTCTGAAGTAGGACATTAAAACTGTATTGTGCAAGGCATGTGCTTATTGCATGTACACTTGATAAAACACTTGTGTCTTCATTATGGTAATGATTTATCTTGCTTTCAAATGTAGGTTAAAAAGTTGTTTTTTTTTTTAAAATACCACCAGAAAAGTCTTGTCACAAGGAGCGCACGTGCCATATATGAATGCCCTATGCAGTAGTTGTGGGCAAGGTTAAAGTTGACAACAGACAAACAGACAGCACAAAAACAATATGTTCCCGATCTTTCGATCCGGGACATTAAAATAGAATAATTCCATTTTCTGCCAATTTCGAAAAGACATTATATGTTAGAAGAGGGAGAAGAGATAGGTTTAGATAATGTCGGTACTGATGTTATATAACATTGTTTACTCTTTAGTAATAGGAATTCCTCTCAGTTAAGGTTTGGAAAACAGCCAAAGGAAACTGGCGGCGGTATCATCCGGAGGTTGAGGGGTGCTGGTAATAATTCCTCTGATGATGTAGTTGTATTTATATTATACAGGAACATGTGTTGTTATTATTTATTAATTCGATATCTTAGTAGCATTAACAGACTGAAAGTATTCACTACTTATATATATATATACACTCATATATATATATATATAAAATGACAAATAACGGTTAATCATTTGTTTGGCTTTATAAGCAATATAGATCACAAAGCATGTACAGTTAATTCAATTTTCACAGGTAAGCTCAAGAATACACGTATGTTATAATTAATGACAACATCCATACCACCGAGTCAGGTAGCGTACTTAACACAGAGACTGGTCTAACGAGACACGGTTGTTAACAACTAACAAGTGTCATCGAAAGATTAAGCTTGTTGTAATTGTTGTTACGTAAAAGGAGTATTTTCTATATTAATACATATTTTATTTGCAAAAATGTTTTCAAATTGCACGCATGCTCATTGGTTATCAACAGAACATAAACACATTCATTCAATACAGCATGACACACGTAAGCATCCCTGAACACAATAACTATTTAGCATATAATCACACCACAATATGTAAAACTTCTGCGAACACGATGTGCGGTAAAAAAAATGGCAGGTGTAAAAATTGATAACAGGTATAACAAAAGTACGGTTTTAAAAAATAAAAATGTCATAAAATTAATTCTGTCTATTGTGATTTTTAAGTTTCGTATGAGTATCAGGTAAATTAAACTCTGCTGTGGTCTTGGTACGGTGGGTAAAGCTACATGGCCGTCTTCGGAAAGACATGTTGAAATATCAACTATTGGAATTCATTACTTCGCATGTTTCTTTAGCAAATTGGAAAGATTAAAAAAATCTATGAATAAAAAGAGAAATAGAAAAAAATGAACATCGTCATAGTAATAATTTTCTAGCAGCAATTAACAGAAAAAATCAGATAAAGTATTTGTAATAAAAGATATATAGATAATAATATATTAGAAAAGATTAGAAATGACAGACGTTCTGAATATATTAAGGGATTCTACAAAGTATCAACTATGTTGTATGTAAGTGTTTGATATTTTCAACCACATATTTATGTGGAGATAAACATGTAGATAATAATACATAAATATTTCAATCATAACAATGCATTTTAAAGACAGGAACAGTTTTTAACGGTATAAATGTGTAAACCCTAACACTGAACTGTACGATCAATTCCTACCCTCGTGACAATATTCCGAGTTTGCAGACAGAACTGAAACCCTGACATGACCCGGATTATGTTTAGAGTCTGGACTGAAACATGGAATTAGTTATTTTTGTTTCTAATCGTAACAAAAGGACAACAATGTACAACAATGTTTTGTTATAAGTATATATCTGTAACATAATTAACTCTGTGATTCAGCCGTAAGTGATGTGTCCGCGGTAGTATTCTCTTGGCCATGTCTTATCACTATTTCTACTGATTCCGGTTCCGTTTCTTTAAGAACTCCCTCCGGCTGTTTTTCTGTTTCAGTTTTAGAGGTTTCATCGTTAATATCTAACGTTCTGTCCTCAGTGTTGGACACTGTGTTCTCCGTGTTAGTTTCTACGACTTTGTTTTCAGTTTCATTTGAATTTAATCCGTTTCCTTGTGTGTTCTTCTCATCTTTCGTCCCACTTTTATCGTGTTTTGGCAGATCATGTGTTTCAACATAGTGTTTCAGGAATGCCACCATGCTTCTTTGTCCTTGCTGTAACACGTGAAAAGAATGAGAATTACTTTTCTTATCTGACTCCGTCTTCATCAATAATTCGTTCCAAGAAAATGTGTATATATTTATTTTCTTCCTTTACACATAATAAGCAATATTCTTAGAATTATTGTAAAGTGTCAGTATCATCAGCTAAAAATAAATGTGTTGAAAAACGGAGTATAGAACTGCAATTAATCACTAGTTGATATCATACCTCCACCGTGAAGTCCTTGTCTGCTACCTCCATACCGAAGTCCATCACTCCAACGTGTCCAGTATTTATCCCAACTGACCGGTCGATGTCCTTTTCCTATGAAATTAAGCCATTTTGACGATAAAGCTAATAAGACAAAACTTAAGTCGTACTCATAGGTATTGTTACCCTTCAGAGGAATATATCTTAAACTGGTATAAACGCTCATAAAAAACTGTTTCTGTTAACAGATGATATAATTGATTCCTTCTACAGCTTCACGTCTTAAAAAAGTGGGTTCAAAGACACATAAGTAATGGCCGAGTCTAGAGCGATGAACGCTACACAGCAGTACTTATCTTTTCCACACTGTTGCAAGGGCATTAAACATAGCTATATAAGGAATAGCTGAATCTAGAGGTAAAAACAAATAGGTAATTTCTTCTAGTGTTTCTCAGTACTTAGAAGGGATTCAAATACATTCAGCTCTATAAGTAATGGCCGAGTCTAGAGGGATACACAAATAAGTAACCTCTTAGGCTACTACTTCATGGCTCCTGTAAGGGGATTCAAATAGCTTTATAGATATTGAATAAATACAGAAGGATTCCAGTATATTTTCGCTATGCTCAAGGATGAAAAAAATGGAAAATTGTAGTGACCCAACAAAAAACAAGAATATGAAATAATGACGAAATCCGTGAAATCAAAGTGTTCACCGTTACTATTTCATAATTGAGCAGTGAAATGTACTGATTCCATTTAGTTCTAGTGTTAAACATGATGAAACGATATATTTGATCATCGGGATGATATTTTAACGGTATACCATGCCTATCGTACCTCGACATATCGTCTGCTTCCATTGACGAGTAAAGCATTCTGTAGCGCATGCGTGAATGATTGGAAGTCGGTAATATCCTGTCTGCTGTAACCTAGGTAGCGTTCTAGTAGGTAAACGCCATTACTCTGAGCGAAATCCATAAGTTCTTGGAACTGAATCTGCAATGACAATATTATATATTCAAACTAAATCAACAAGGACTACTCTTGCTGATTGCAACTAGGTAAATGCCACAGAACAATATGATTACGGTCAATAATTGCTCACTGAAATGGATATCACAGAAAACATCCTATCAATATTTACACCTGTCACGAAGGGGCACAAGTGGGACAGTTAATAGCTTTCTCACCTCGCCGTCTTTACTGCTATCCAACAGTTCGAACGCCTTGTCCGCCGTAATGTCAGGACCGAACAAAGTTTCCTTGATTCCGTCCGATAGCTAGGATAAGTAGAGAAAAAGACTTAAACATTCTTCTGCAATATTGCTGGATTTAAAACTGATACACAGGGACGAATTTTGAGAGGCTACCCATATACCCATATACCCCTGTTGCTTTCATCCTTAAAGCAAACGCTTCGCTACGTAGATTACTAGAGGCGGTTTGAACAAAATGAGTAAATATTCCTCCTAGAGTGGTAAAAAGGAATGACTGCAGATAATTCTATTTCTAGCGACAGAAACATTGATTATGAAGGATCAATGAAGGTCTGGTGGTCAGAAATTCTAAACCTTAACTTTTATTCCTGATATGATTGTTTGAAAGGCTAGATTCAACATAGTAAAAGCTTCTTTTCCGCTACAGGCGCGAGAATATGTTTAACAGAAAATATCCATTTCACATACCATTTTTGTTTTTTTTTTCATGAATAACAGGCATTTTTTCTTACTTTCTGTGCGATTTTAGTCAAAGAATAATTTTTGATTGATAAAACAGCAATCTTTATTTCTTCAACAATTGTATGTACATTGATATCTACTGATATCAGTATAAACATTTATTTTTAAATGAGGTCGCCGGAGTTGAAGAGCCCCGGGTTCAGCTCTGAGCAATAAGTTGTCTTCTTGTAAGAGGGCTTGTATACGTCACCCCATTCCATTTGTACAATTATGAATATAAATCACAATTTATATTAAAAAGTTCGATATACAAAAATGTATTTATATATATATATTGCATGATTTAGAAGTATATATAAATACAAAAATCGGTAGATTGATATATGTATTCAAGATAGCTCTAATTGATATGGAATGTCTATTATGTTTTGTGCTTAGTATTTTTTATTTTTGCTTTTTTTTTCAATAAATTCATTAAATGTAATATTATAATACTTATACAATCAGAAAAAAAATACGTTAAAAATAATTTTTCAGTGATTTCACGAGCTTAATACAGCTCGAGAACAAAAGGTTTTGAAGTATTGACTTGGATCCCGTATTTAACACTGTACTAAAATGACTTTTTAGTACTGTGAAGCAAAACATGCGGACGGACTGGCAAACGAAACATAGAGTAACATAGGGATACAACAGTTCTATAAAACGTCCAAACACACGGTGTTTTTGTGTGATCCAAGTCAAACAAACGTAGCTATATGATGTCTAGATAGACGAATCAAAGATGACAAAACGAAAACATTTTATGATAGAACTTTGTCTATTCAATTACCATAATAGACAAGAACCATCTTCAATTAATCTGGAAAAAACAATGGAAGTATGCATTTCATAGGTATGTTAAAATGATTCTAGCCTGGCTATGGATACATACATCAGTGAAAGCTGCCTCCAGTTCGGATTTACTGATACATCCGTTTTTGTTGAGGTCATGTCGCCTTAGAATCTAAACAAAAATAAATAAATAAAATGAATAAAAATGGCCATCCTTAATTTCTAAAAATGATATGTAATTCTACGCCATGTCTATAACCCTGTCTATATTTGTTATTATACAGCAAAGGCAGTAAGATGTTAACTATAACACAATTTCCAGCCGATTAATCTTTTCTTTAAATTTGTTTAATAAAGATAAAAGACCTATGTAATGACAAAACTAATTACCAAAATACATCATAGTCTCTATTTATCTAAATTACTGTAATTGTTTTTGTTGTTATAGTGACACTATCTTTTCTAAGACGCATAGAACATACATGATTACGTTTGTTCTGAATGATTATATACAACCACAAAAATAAGTTTTGTTTATCTTTTTTCCCATATTTGTCTTTAAAATAAGTTTCAACATACTTCGAAAAATTCCGTAAAAGCTTCCATAATTTTCTGGTGTTCTATCTTCGCAATGCTTTGTAACGCTTTCTTCTTCAGTTTTCGCCTAGAAAAAAGCTCAGTACATACAGCTTTCAGTTTCTCCCTACCAACTGCTTTGAGGCCACTCTCAAAATAGTAAATGCTTACGATTTCGCATACTTTAATCTTTAAGTTAGCTCAACAACTCCTTTCTTGATTTCAGTACTTGGTAAAATATGTCTTTTCATTGCAATCTAGTGGAAATTCGTCATATAATAACCAGAAGTAGGTTTTTTAACGGTTAATAAATCTTTTGATGAACTCGGAGGTGATATCAGCTAATACAGATTTTTTATTTTTGAGATTAAAAGGGTTTTCACTTTAAACAGTAACCCACTGGTAATGATACTAATTAATCACTTACAAAATCCTATATAGTATTAAGAAACCTGTAATTTAAACTCGAAATCGATACAGGAAGGGTACATTTCAAACAAAGGAAAGATTTAAACTGATACCCTAAAAAAAAATCCATGGAGAATAAGATCATGCTCCTAAAGGTATTGCTACTTACGACCGGTACAAAACAGATAAAATATACATTAAGTTCGTATTGACTATTAATACCAAACAAAACCAATGAAATCATTTTTCGATATTCCCTATGAACAAATCATACTGGAATAATTACAAATTGGTGTCATAAATTGTGTGTGTCTCGAGCCTTGGAACTTGCCAACCTTTTTACACAGCAGGTTTATCCATTTAACAATCTGGGCTTTTTTGTTTAAATTATTTTGAAGTGAAACTATTTCTTTTGTAAGATTTTGATTACAATGAACATAGTTCAAACTTTCGATAAATATTTCGTAATTGAAATCAAACACGTTGTATCTTCATGTCACACATGGATCACGTTTTTGTTTATCTCACTGGTGAATAACATACATGCTTTGAATTCACCGAAACGTTTGCTGTTTATGTAAGAATGAACTGTATCATCAGCGCTATGATACATTAACAGATGCCAAGTGCACGTTATGAGAATTGCGCAGTGAAATAGTTAAAACCTACTTGGATAGAGAGGTTTTAGGAATCTTTCCCATCTGTTTCCCATATCTCTTTTCCATACTGAATCGGAATAAATCCTCCTCCAGATCCTCGTACTGAAACATACCAAAATTATAAAACGCCAGAACCAATTTTTACATCGAATTACCTTAATGTCAAACAGTCGGATATGTCTTGTCTCAAATATCTAAAAACATAATTAAACAAGAAAACATTGGTGCTATTTCTATAAGAATGATTTTGTAGCTAACCGTTCAGTGTTGTTGTAAGAACATTTAACTGTAGACTCCCCAATCTTGTACATACCACTAGAAATCCTAAAGTTTTAGAGTTCCTGCCCTCAAATCTCCCATCCCGAGCTAGAAGTCCTGGCAATTTGTCCAGAGGTTTGAGTCTCTCCAGAAATGTGTCACCAGGTTCCATTGATAGCCACCAACCTGCAAAACGTTTTTCGTTTATCAGCACTTGTTTAAATACAAAACAAGAAAACTCCTACATGTTAACAAAATTTTAATTGGAAGCCTTTCAATACGTAGAATAAGACAGGTGGGCCTGAAGGTTAGACGTTTACTGCATCATTAATACCTACCATACAAGTATTTGTACGTTTTGTACAGCTATGGTTCTCGAATATATAACTTGTTCAGTGTCAGCAAAAACGTACCATGATAGATATACCAAATTATAACAATGTATCTTTTAATATTTATTGCTTGCTTCAGAAATAATATAAAGTAAAAGTTCACGCTCCAAGGCTAAGTAATCTTATCCTATATTGCGTAATCCCCTTACCGACTTCTCCATAACATTGATATTGGGGCCTTAAAAATTGGAATCGTTAAGGCAGCAAATGTTCAGACAATGTTTAGGAAAGCTCACAATACCATAATAGCAATGTAGAAGAAAGTTGACATTAATCGTAATAACATATAGGAAAGTTAACATTAATCGGGACAATGTATCAGAAAGTTGACATTAATCGTAACAATATATAGGAAAGTTTTCATTAATGATGACAATGTATAGGAAAGTTGACATTACCATCGTAGCAATGTATAGGAAAGTTGACATTACCATCGTAGCAATGTATAGGAAAGTTGACATTACCATCGTAGGAATGTATAGGAAAGTTGACATTAATCGTAACAATGTATAGGAAAGTTGACATTAATCGTAACAATGTATAGGAAAGTTGACATTACCATCGTAACAATGTATAGGAAAGTTGACATTACCATCGTAGCAATGTATAGGAAAGTTGACATTACCATCGTAGCAATGTATAGGAAAGTTGACATTACCATCGTAGCAATGTATAGGAAAGTTGACATTACCATCGTAGCAATGTATAGGAAAGTTGACATTAGTCGTAACAATGTATAGGAAAGTTGACATTACCATCGTAACAATGTATAGGAAAGTTGACATTACCATCGTAGCAATGTATAGGAAAGTTGACATTACCATCGTAACAATGTATAGGAAAGTTGACATTAATCGTAACAATGTATAGGAAAGTTGACATTACCATCGTAACAATGTATAGGAAAGTTGACATTAATCATAACAATGTATAGGAAAGTTGACATTACCATCGTAACAATGTATAGGAAAGTTGACATTACCATCGTAGCAATGTATAGGAAAGTTGACATTAATCGTAACAATGTATAGGAAAGTTGACATTACCATCGTAGCAATGTATAGGAAAGTTGACATTACCATCGTAGCAATGTATAGGAAAGTTGACATTAATCGTAACAATGTATAGGAAAGTTGACATTACCATCGTAACAATGTATAGGAAAGTTGACATTACCATCGTAGCAATGTATAGGAAAGTTGACATTAATCGTAACAATGTATAGGAAAGTTGACATTACCATCGTAACAATGTATAGGAAAGTTGACATTACCATCGTAACAATGTATAGGAAAGTTGACATTAATGATGACAATGTATAGGAAAGTTGACATTACCATCATAGCAATGTATAGGAAAGTTGACATTAATCGTAACAATGTATAGGAAAGTTGACATTGCCATCGTAGCAATGTATAGGAAAGTTGACATTACCATCGTAGCAATGTATAGGAAAGTTGACATTACCATCGTAGCAATGTATAGGAAAGTTGAAATTACCATCGTAGCAGTGTATAGGAAAATTACACATGATCCCACCATCCACAAACACATCCTCGTCACCGGCTTTGTCGTATTTCACTGCGTGAAATAAAACTGAAACAAAACAATGACGTTAACTTATTCCACGCACCAGTTTGTATATCTATATATACGACTAACAATACTTGATTCGGTTAACTATCTAGTTTCCTAATGTACATGACTTCCTACCATTTTCAATAAACAAATGTCGGATTTAAATTTAACCAATTATAATTCTAAAGCTAGGAGGTAATGATAGGCAAGTGAACAGTAGTGTGATTACTATAATAAAAAAAGGCAAATACATACGAAGCAATTTTACCATCGAATGGTACAGAGGATAGTGTAATCTACAGACACGATGATTTATTTAAAGGACCAATTAAGTACGAATTACAGACTTAAGGCAATCTTTGCGTGAATCATATAGCCAGTACCTGGAATGGACATTGACATGCGCACTGCCGTTCGAATCGGCATGTGAGGTGTAGTCTTGGGATGACAATATTCCTCAGTCATGCGGCTGACATTGGTGACGACAACACACAGTTCTACTCCTCTTTTCTTGTATAACTGAAAAAGGTTATAGTTCACCATCAACTTAGGTGCCTCATATAATTCAATGAATAAGACTCTTAGCATCACTGACGAGTCTATGAGGGACAGAACAGCTGTGTGATCCACTAAGCAGCTGTATATTGTGTTCATCATTTGATTATCTTGCGCCGTATACTATAATCATCAACAAACGAGTCATTCACCCGACTCTGTGTATTTATTGGATCTTTGGTGTTGTGGTGGGTGTTGTTTGAATTCCTGTATTTCAGTGTACTTAATTCAAAATTTGTATTGAAAAGAGCAAGTTACTTCCGTGTTCTTTTGTATGATATTTTAAAACTTAAATTATGGTTAATAATTTATGTTATTCTCAACGACATCCAGCGTGTTTACTGCAAATGTTGTTATTTTCTAGGAGAGGATGGAATTGCGAAAGAAAGGAAGTTAAATTGATAGAGAAAAAAATGTACAGTTTCTGACTCTTGAGAAAGAAATAAAACAGCGAGAAGGCAAACTGTACACCATATGAAACACTATTTATTGTATATATTGTATTAATTATATGCTTACAGGTAATCTGAAAAACTAGTATATTTCGAACAACACCCAGAATACTAGAGAGCAATAAAACAACACGGACACAAATTTTGATATGAAATTACCAATGTCTATCGTTATTTAAGTCGCTGGTAGTATGTATCAATACAATTTAGCATCATTTTCTAATTACAAGGGATAAAGTGTTGTTGATTGAATAATGCAGCTTATAACGTGTTGTTTGAGAACGCCTTCCAAAAGAGAAAGGTAGCCAGATGTATAGTAGGCTGAGGACATGGCACTTATTGCATGAGTGGCTATCAGAAAGACACATTTTATTGAACGAAACAATCTTGATTGATTCTTAAGACATCCTTTTTCTGTTCTTTGCGAAATAGAAAAACGCACAAGAGATCATCATTTTCACCTTCACATCTATTTCTCTGCGACTCTATTTCCTTTCAATAAAAATAATGTCATTTTCATATCTGAATTTGAAACTTTGTGATTAAACCATGGCTTAATCATTTTTAACGTATCTGAAAAAAAAATAGATAGGATTGCAATCCAATACTTGCATATTATATAGTTTAGCAAATGCAGAACATCAATATAAAAAAATGCATGTGATGGTAACATTTACCGTAGCTGTCAGACAAAGTGATATTTTCTCAACTAATCACTGTTGGTGTTCTAGTTGGAAAGGCTGCATTAATGTAGTTATATGAATATCTCGACTATCTAATGTATTTTTGATGTGAAATTTTCTTTCCTGCAAGAAACTCCTGCATGTGTTCAATACTCTTTAGAAAGCCTGGCGTGTTAGTTATCTTGTCCTCATTTGAGAACGTGACATTACTTACTAGGATAGAGAAAGATTTACATGTTCGGTGTCGTCGATTAATCAGAAAGACGCTCACCCTTTCGGATGCATGGTCTTATTCTCCTTATAAGGAGTCTCTCTGTAAATCTTTCTTTTATTTATATTTTGCCTACGTTATATTGATTTTGAGTTTAGGTTAAGAATCTGTTGACATGTCTCGGTATTTTCTTGTCGTTCTTGGGTGTTCAAGTGAAATATCACTTCGACAATAACACACTATTTTGCTGCATCTCATCCAAGAAGTTAAATGTTTTTGATACATTAAGTCCGAGAGTCAACTACCACATGTCTATCCTGACATATTCCGGTGTTCTCACTAGGTATCATAGATATGTCACAGACACATGTAGATACAAACGATAGCGAGTGCTGATAAAAACCTATAAAACATTTTCCAATACTTCCTGAAGATCAGACAGATAAAGACATGTGTCTGGACTCTTAGGTCACGAGGGAACACTGTGCAACAGTCAACCCAGTCTTGTGTAATGGAATTATCCATAGAGTAGCAATTGATGATATGCTTAAAATTATTTACCTAAAATTATCAATTCATCTACTCTTCAATTATGACAAAATATGTTTCACATGCTTATTTACACACAAAAGAGATGGACGTCGAATCTAACAAATCTATATTAGTTTTGTTGATGTTATGTATTAAGGTCTTTTGGATATCATATTCTGAACAGTTTTCAATATGTGCGGGTTATAGATTTGTATGATGTGACTACCAGTTATTGAATGAACTCGCACAAAGCTATATATATAAATATGAATACTGCTGTGATGATGTCATTATCCGCATGTGTAGTGTTAACAGATTGTAAATTTATATGTTGGAAGCATCGTTGTGTGACATTTGAAAGTCCCAGTGATATCAATAAGTTTTAGAATATTTCCTTGAATTGGTTTTTCTCGCTTCGTGTCAGTTTGGAGATAGAAGTAATGATTCAGTGTTACCAGCCCACACCATACAGAAAGCTAGTTTATTGAATAAGAATCACATACAAACTAAAATAAATGTATCCCTTGAGAGCGGTGACTCTGAGAGCAACGTAATAGACGAAAGCGAGGAACGAATTTTATCTGTTATCGACCGACAGGAAATTTAAAAAAAAAAAAAAAACTTTGAGTAGGTTTTAGCACGAAAACTTATTCATTTTTGACAAAAGAAACCACATTGTTGAAATTCCTTGCATACAAATATGTATCCTTCTATATATTGTATAAATGTAAGATTGATGACGGGGATATTTACTCACGTACCTAAAACATCAAGTCTGAATAAATAGATGGATATCTTAGACCAGGAATATCGACCCTTAGTTGAACACGGTGGATAAAGAAAGCTGTCATAACGTCAAAAATGTTTTACAGATCAAACTTTTCACATAGCATAGACTAATGGAGACAAAATGTCATATCAACTTCTTACTGAACAAATAATGCTGTTGATAGAAACTGCGAGTCTAGTGAGTGAAAGTAACTGTGAGTATAGTGGTTGATAGTTACTGTGAGTCTAGTGGTTGATAGTTACTGTGAGTCTAGTGGTTGATAGTAACTGTGAGTCTAGTGGTTGATAGAAACTGCGAGTCTAGTGAGTGAAAGTAACTGTGAGTCTAGTGGTTGATAGAAACTGCGAGTCTAGTGAGTGAAAGTAACTTTGAGTCTAGTGAGTGAAAGTAACTGTGAGTCTAGTGGTTGATAGTTACCGTGAGTCTAGTGGTTGATAGTTACTGTGAGTCTAATGGTTGATAGTAACTGTGAGTCTAGTGGTTGATAGAAACTGCGAGTCTAGTGAGTGAAAGTAACTGTGAGTCTAGTGGTTGATAGTAACTGCGAGTCTAGTGAGTGAAAGTAACTTTGAGTCTAGTGGTTGATAGAAACTGTCAGTCTAGTGGTTGATAGAAACTGCGAGTCTAGTGAGTGAAAGTAACTGTGAGTCTAGTGGTTGATAGTAACTGTGAGTCTAGTGGTTGATAGAAACTGCGAGTCTAGTGAGTGAAAGTAACTTTGAGTCTAGTGAGTGAAAGTAACTGTGAGTCTAGTGGCTGATAGTAACCGTAAGTCTAGTGAGTGATAGAAACTGTGAGTCTAGTGGTTGATAGTAATTGTGAGTCTAGTGGGTGATAGTGACTGTGAGTCTAGTGGGTGATAGTGACTGTGAGTCTAGTGGGTGATAGTTACTCTGAGTCTAGCGGTTGATAGTAACTGTGAGTCTAGATGTTAATAGTAACTGTGAGTCTAGTGGGTGATAGTAACTGTGAGTCTAGTGGTTGATAGTAACTGTGAGTCTAGTGGTTGATAGTAATTGTGAGTCTAAATGTTAATAGTAACTGTGAGTCTAGTGGTTGATAGAAACTGTTGGTCTAGTAGTTGATAGTAACCGTGAGTCTAGAGGATGAAAGTAATTGTGAGTCTAGTGGTTGATAGAAACTGCGAGTCTAGTGGGTGAAAGTAACTGTGAGTCTAGTGGCTGATAGTAACTGTGAGTCTAGTGGTTGATAGTAACTGTGAGTCTAGTGGGTGAAAGTAACTGTGAGTCTAGTGAAAGTAACTGTGAGTCTAGTGGGTGAAAGTAACTGTGAGTCTAGTGGGTGAAAGTAACTGCGAGTCTAGTGGGTGAAAGTAACTGTGAGTCTAGTGGCTGATAGTAACTGTGAGTCTAGTGGGTGAAAGTAACTGCGAGTCTAGTGGGTGAAAGTAACTGTGAGTCTAGTGGTTGATAGTAACTGTGAGTCTAGTGGTTGATAGTAACTGTAAGTCTAGTGAGTGATAGAAACTGTGAGTCTAGTGGTTGATAGAAACTGTGAGTCTAGTGGTTGATAGAAACTGTGAGTCTAGTGGTATATAGAAAAGGTGAGTCTAGTGATGGAAAGTAACTGTGAGTCTAGTGGTTGATAGTAACTGTGAGTCTAGTGGTTGATAGTAACTGTGAGTCTAGTGAGTGAAAGTAACTGTGAGTCTAGTGAAAGTAACTTTGAGTCTGAGTGAAAGGTGAGTCTAGTGGTTGATAGTGAGTGAAAGTAACTGTGAGTCTAGTGGTTGATAGTAACTGTGAGTCTAGTGTAAGTCTGTGAGTCTAGTGAGTGATAGTGAAAGTAACTGTGAGTCTAGTGGTTGATAGTAACTGTATTTCTATTGTGTCATTGATTCTTTGAGTCTTGTGGGTGATAGTGACTGTGAGTCTAGTGGGTGAAAGTTACTGAGTCTAGTGGTTGATAGAACTGTGAGTCTTGTGGGTGACTGTGAGTCTAGTGGGTGATAGTAACTGTGAGTCTAGTGGTTGATAGTAACTGTGAGTCTAGTGGTTGATAGTAAGTGTGAGTCTAAATGTTAATAGTAACTGTGAGTCTAGTGGTTGATAGAAACTGTTGGTCTAGTGTTGATAGTTGATAGGATGAAAGTAATTGTGAGTCTAGTGGTTGATAGAAACTGTAAAGTAACTGTGAGTCTAGTGAGTGATAGAAACTGTGAGTCTAGTGGGTGAAAGTAACTGTGAGTCTAGTGGGTGAAAGTAACTGCGAGTCTAGTGGGTGAAAGTAACTGTGAGTCTAGTGGCTGATAGTAACTGTGAGTCTAGTGGTTGATAGTAACTGTGAGTCTAGTGGTTGATAGTAACTGTGAGTCTAGTGGTTGATAGTAACTGTGAGTCTAGTGGTTGATAGTAACTGTGAGTCTAGTGGTTGATAGAAACTGTGAGTCTAGTGGGTGAAAGTAACTGTGAGTCTAGTGGTTGATAGAAACTGTGAGTCTAGTGGTTGATAGAAACTGTGAGTCTAGTGGGTGAAAGTATAGTGGGTGAAAGTAACTGTGAGTCTAGTGGGTGAAAGTAACTGCGAGTCTAGTGGGTGAAAGTAACTGTGAGTCTAGTGGTGATAGAACTGTGAGTCTAGTGGTTGATAGAAACTGTGAGTCTAGTGGGATAGAAACTGTGAGTCTAGTGGGTGAAAGTAACTGTGAGTCTAGTCTAGTGCTGATAGTAACTGTGGTCTGATAGTAACTGTGAGTCTAGTGGTTGATAGAAACTGTGAGTCTAGTGGTTGATAGAAACTGTGAGTCTAGTGGTTGATAGTAACTGTGAGTCTAGTGGTTGATAGTAACTGTGAGTCTAGTGGTTGATAGAAACTGTGAGTCTAGTGGTTGATAGAAACTGTGAGTCTAGTGGTTGATAGAAACTGTGAGTCTAGTGGTTGATAGAAACTGTGAGTCTAGTGGGTGAAAGTAACTGTGAGTCTAGTGGTTGATAGTAACTGTGAGTCTAGTGGTTGATAGAAACTGTGAGTCTAGTGGTTGATAGAAACTGTGAGTCTAGTGGGTGAAAGTAACTGTGAGTCTAGTGGCTGATAGTAACTGTGAGTCTAGTGGGTGAAAGTAACTGAGTCTGGTGAGTGAAAGTAACTGAGTCTAGTGGATGATAGAAACTGTGAGTCTAGTGGGTGAAAGTAACTGTGAGTCTAGTGGGTGAAAGTAAATCTAATTTCAAATCCTGCTATCAACAAATTACAAAAAAAATTGCAGTTTCTGACATTCAATTTCTGTCGCTAATGAGCAATTCGGGACACATTCTGATATCACGACCAGTTACTGAAACAAACTTTATCGATAACCATTTAAGCTGTTTATAGCATACATTAATTTCTGACATTTCAACTTGCTATTTACGTTTTAAGATATGATTATCAAAATTTTGTTCACAGAAGTCGCCGAAGTAGTTCGAATACTTCTTTTCTTTGTTGTTGACTATCAAGCTGGCTCTAAGGTATATATAGCGATTCACGTACATTTCGTCAGTCAACAATAACTCGTCAAACTGCGGCCACTTCATCATTATTTTTTGACATAATACCAATAGAACAGTTGTTATTGTAAATCTAAATGTAGAACGTACAATAAGTTAACTACTTTGAACTTTCCCTAGATAAATGAAGCTGGCGTCGATATTACAGCTAATGAGGAGCCATGCTCTAAACTCATCATTTAAAGTTTGATAAGCATTTTATGCATGAATAGAGAGTATTCCAAATTCTAAACACGTCTTACTTTTGATTCGAAATACGTCAGCATAACTGACAGAAGTAACATTCAACAATGTGATTTACTAAGGCTAGAACACCTCCGCACTAGTTGTCATGATCAGTATTAATGGAGGTGCAATTTGACATCGAGTATCGATCTTGTGTTTAGTTCTCTTATGCTTTATCATCAGGACATTACCAGAACAGACTTAATTGGATTCGTTTGTTTAGTATCTACAACGTTTCTTAAGAATCCTATATCTTTTCATTACCATTAACACTGAATAAATGATCGACAGTACCATTACAGTCAGTCATAAACAACACTAGCACTTCTCTCAAGATAACTAGGCAGAAAAAGATCTTTGACGAAGATCAATGACTAACCGCAGCGAGTACAATGACGAAGCATCCCCTAGAGAACTTTGATGTTTAATGGCAAATCATTCAACTGCTATATTTGATCAAATTTTGTCAGTTCAATAGTAATTGGAAATTGCTCTGAGGACGTTATATGATCCCACACAATTATGCCAGAATGCAATTACTTTAAAGATGGATTTATCTCTAACTATTAATGTTAAGTTCAGCAAGGGAAGGGTTAATTCTTCACACCTTAAAAATCCTTAGTGTCACCTTTTCACAAGGATTCGCAAGTATTAATAACAGACCAGCGGAGCGAAAACTAGCGTTGCTTATGACTTGGGAGCTGCGATTTAAGTACATCTATATAACGGAAGTTAATAGTGTTATCAAAGTGAAATATTATAGGGTTGAATCATTAGTCATGTTTAAACAATCAACACTATTATCCAGATATGTGTCACAGTCCTTGTTTATCAACTTGTGGCATGAAGTGACGATGATATCTGTTGAACATGTATAGTTGAATTCGTGCTACATCAAATATTACCAATTAAAACTATTGACCGGTAAATGGTCAAAATTCAATGTATCCCCTTGGGTATATTTTCAACTTTTGACCAACCTGACCGACTAAATAGTGTTTCATTGTCCGATGATATTTCTGAGCGTGAACAAAGGGCTTTTGTAGAGAGTAAGGCAACTATACCAAATATCTCTTAACCGACGACGTACTTTACATTAAAATAATGTTATACTAGTAGTAGCCGAGAAAATGTTTGTTTAATATCATCATCCTTAATATATTAAAGATATTCTCAATGTAACCATCTTATTAAAAAAAACATATTTCAGTGTCAATACACAAGGATAAATCCGGAACTTGATATAAAATGCAAGATGACACTAACGTAGGGGTAACATTTCGAATCTTTGTCCATCGAAGGGGGAAAGTCAAGTAGAAATGATACGGAAAGAGTGGGCCCGTAATAAGCACCTAAGTGTGTCAACCGGGTACAAATATATAATTTGCTAATAAGTATGACTTTCTTACTTGTGCGAAGGTGACGTCTGGGTCTCCAGCAGCCTTCGCCAGGACTCCTCCAAGCCAGTTAGAGAAACGATTGCCAGGGTTCCAGCCATAATCCTTTCTTAGATTTGGTAACAAACTAAGAACTCCCCATTTATGATCTGAAGATGGAAAACAAAAAAATGGCATATCTAGATATATGATTCATTACATTGTACGTCGAAAGATTCCCAGCTGTTTCCAAAGAAAAAAAAAGAGAGGTAGCTAATTCGAGGGCTAACATATCTATGAGTCAGGGTAAGACGGTATGTCATTGCAATAGTAATTATTCCTGGCTTATTTAACACAACTCAGCCAACTCGGTTAGATAATTTTAACGAAGTGCAGAAATGAAGCAATCAGTGAAAACATTTATTCAATAGTATTTAACTTTGCTGTTGTTGATTTGGACAGACACTTATGGACGAAACTACTTCACTAGAGCTTGAATAAGAATGATCTGTCAAAAGCAGAATCGGTATCAGCGGATCTAATTTTAATTTATACTAATTTGATGTCATAAGCAATTGTACAGTCATCTACAAAAAGAAATTCGTTATTACCATTTCAATGAAATGAATTTCATCAAATTTTGTTACTTTTAATGTCTTTAGAAATACGATAAAATGTTCAACCATTAGATATTGATTAGACCACATTACACGATTCTCTGGAGACACCCTTACCAACACAATGTGATTCGTTATAATGAATATACCTTATTATTAATATAATGTAGCTTCGTGTTGTAACAATTTGCGTACATCTATCTATCTGAAATAATAATATTGGAAGTTGTATGGTACTACTGGAGAAATTTGAAATTCTATTTGCTCAGTTGCGATTATTATGTTCCTGGAAAAAAATCCCAAAGTAAGGAATTGGAATGGAGGGAACTTGTAAAAGGGAGGTCAACTGCAGTCAAACTACTGTAGTGTCAATACATGATAATTGATTTTCCACAACTCGCGCTACAAATGCTCATGCCATTGATCAACATTAACATATTTAATTGATCATCAATACACATGTTCGAGTTATCACTTAATTTCACTAACCTAACAAGATGTTATTTAAATCTTGACTGAGGAAGTCATCTACTTCTTTAGACGTGTAACCAACAGCCACTAAAGCCGCTGTAATTGCCCCGGCACTGGTCCCAGCGAATCGCTTCACATTCTGCATGATCCCAAGGTCCTCGATTACCTAACAACAGAAAACATTACGTTACATAATTGAAGCTTGGCTAAGAGACATACAACAATAACTTATGTTGGCTGAGCTTATCATATGAGTAGTACACTCTCAGATCATTACATCTTGGGAATACAACAAGCATATCGCATTTCTTGCAATTATTATACATACCAATTGTCTCGAGACAAACACGTGTTTTAACAATGCAGATAAAGCAACAAGCTTCCGTATTGAGAACATAACTACCAATTTCATAGAAATGAAAAAATACAATCTACCTGCATAATGATACTTTGTTTTAGAATAATGACAATATTGGCTGTTTAGATTCAAATTGTCAAAACAAACCTTTAATGCACCGCAAAATCCGGCTCCTTCAGCCCCACCGCCTTCAAAAACAAGGTTCTCAAACGGGAAAATGTAATCGCCCAACCCATCGTACTCATCCACGGGAACGCTGTCTTCAATGGTAACTATAATATAAAAACAGAAATTTTAATTATCTGTATCTGTCTGATTGAATGTAAATCACTTCATATGTGTTTGATTTCTGGCCGAAAAATGTTAGATTAGTAACCAAATCCGAAGTGTATATTTCACGTGATATTTTAATTTGTGGGCGTTCTGTATTCTTTTCAAAGCTGTAGCTACTAAGTAAACCACCATAGGTCAATCACATTAGATCCAATAACTACTAAATGTTTATGTTAAATAATGATATCATAGAATACTTAAACCATTGTGCTGCTGCACATTCGATCAAGTTGCCTTCGATGCAATATGTAAAAGCCTGGAGAACGAACAAAAATTAGAAATGATAATTCTACTTATATAGGTTTTATTTGTTATGGTCAATCAAAGCACATGTCGACACTAATATGAGAGGAAATGCCTGAATTATTCATTCTGATTTGCAACACCAGCTAAAGCTGAAATGAGATCAGGCATAACTTTTGAAAGCAGAAGATCGATACCTGTACCTACTGCAACAGAGAAACGATAGCTTAGTTAACACTGTAGGCGGGGAGCTTATTTATGCGCCGAACGGTATCTGTTGCAATTCAAAATGCGTCGACATGTACTCGAATACGGTGTAAGGATGTATCTTGCAATGGTACATTTGTTATATACAAGTGTTATAAGATATAATTACAATGTTGCAATGTATCCTTATAAAAATAAAAATATGTATCCTGAAAAAATATGCAGAATATATCTATGTTTCCTTACAATTACAAAATAAAACATCGCAATACATCAGGTATCCTTTAAAATATCAAAATTTCCTAATACATAACAACAAAATACTACTATGTGTCCTTACAAATGGACAAAATATAACAACTTGTCCTTATAAATGGACAAAATATCCAAATGTATGCGAGCAATATCACAATATAATTAAAATTAAATTGATTAAATTATATTACATCACCATGTACCATAACATATTGACAAAGAGTGTACCCATACAAAAATATTATATTGATAATAATTAGAATATAACAATGCTTGGCTACACAATGACACGAATCACAATGTATCCTTAAGAAATGTAGAAATTTTACTTTGTCTTATAGAATAATCCTACTGCATGTGAACTCACCAGAATCTGGTTCATCTTGTGACGTCACTGATTCCATACGCTGTGCCAGTAATTTGGCATTTTCCTTTTTCTGTTTATCCAAGGCTGTTGATTTTTTATCTCCATGACTCTTTTCCTTTGACTTTTTAGCCTCCTTGCTGGAGTTTGTACCCATAACTGAATTTATCCACCAACAACTAACTGTGAGACAACAACAAATGGAGAATGGATCAGTGCTATTGATTTCTAACAGACTCGGAATGAAAGATTTGCACTTTAATTAGGTTTTCTTTTCGTTATAAATATGCATCAGCTGTAAAAAGAGCCGGTTGTCCTGTGATGTTGTCATACAAGGTGTACACTTCCGTGGCTGGTACTGGTCGGTACACGTCAGTCTCACTTTATCAATGTAATCACACCCTTTCCCTGAACAACTACTCATCGCTTCCATGCTATTCTATCGATTCCTAGCTTCTGTTGGACAAAATTGTTTGTGTTGGCGTCGAAGCCTAATTTGGCTACGCAAATGCGATTAATTATACCCAGAAATCAGCTCTGAACATACAATCGCTGGTTAATAGAGCGAAACATTGTTGATAACGAACTTATTATCGTCGTAATCAGAAGGGCATTCAGATGATACGTACTACGTACTATCCAAGGACCATCTCAGAGTAATTAAAACCTGGCCTTTTCACAGACAGAAGTAGCACCTTTATTCAAATATTGACTTAGTTAATGTATCAGACCAGACAGCTTGTTCCCACCTCTCCAAACACATTCCTACACCCCTATCATAACAAACACAATTGTGTGCTTCCCATATCATCATCATTATACTCCTTACAGGCACCCATCTTCTCAATACTACTTACAGACTCCCATCTTCATAATACTCCTTACAGGCATCAATCTTCTCAATACTCCTTACAGGCATCAATCTTCTCAATACTCCTGACAGGCACCCATCTTCTCAATACTCCTTACAGGCATCAATCTTCTCAATACTCCTGACAGGCACCCATCTTCTCAATACTCCTTACAGGCACCCATCTTCTCAATACTCCTTACAGGCATCAATCTTCATAATACTCCTGACAGGCACCCATCTTCTCAATACTCCTTACAGGCACCCATCTTCTCAATACTCCTTACAGGCATCAATCTTCATAATACTCCTGACAGGCACCCATCTTCTCAATACTCCTTACAGGCATCAATCTTCTCAATACTCCTTACAGGCACCCATCTTCTCAATACTCCTTACAGGCATCAATCTTCATAATACTCCTGACAGGCACCCATCTTCTCAATACTCCTTACAGGCACCCATCTTCTCAATACTCCTTACAGGCATCAATCTTCATAATACTCCTGACAGGCACCCATCTTCTCAATACTCCTTACAGGCACCCATCTTCTCAATACTCCTTACAGGCATCAATCTTCATAATACTCCTGACAGGCACCCATCTTCTCAATACTACTTACAGACTCCCATCTTCACAATACTCCTTACAGACACCTTTCTTCTCAATACTACTTACAGACTCCCATCTTCATAATACTCCTTACAGACACCTTTCTTCTCAATACTACTTACAGACTCCCATCTTCATAATACTCCTTACAGACACCTTTCTTCTCAATACTACTTACAGACTCCCATCTTCATAATACTCCTTACAGACACCTTTCTTCTCAATACTACTTACAGACTCCCATCTTCATAATACTCCTTACAGACACCTTTCTTCTCAATACTACTTACAGACTCCCATCTTCACAATACTCCTTACAGACACCTTTCTTCTCAATACTACTTACAGACTCCCATCTTCATAATACTCCTTACAGACACCTTTCTTCTCAATACTCCTTACAGACACCCATCTTCACAATACTCCTTACAGACACCTTTCTTCTCAATACTCCTTACAGACACCCATCTTCACAATACTCCTTACAGACACCCATCTTCTCAATACTCCTTACAGACACCTGTCTTCTCAATACACATTACAGACACATGTCTTCTTAATAACACTCTCGTACACGTATGGAATTGTACCTTTTTAACACACTACTTCTGGTAACTAAATCAACTGATACCACATGACTTGAGTAAAAGCACGTGGTAGTGTAGCTATTTTTCATTACACAATGTACACACGACAGGACATTTAATCCGAGAAAGTATGTAGGTCACCAACCAGTGCCGTTTTGTCGTGGTAGTAAAGAATGAATCATCATTGATCTCAAATCAGATGATAACTGACAACCAAACAATGTCAGTATGTCCGACAAAAGCCAATTAAAATAAAATGAATATCTGTTATATAATTAATCAACAATCAAATGGCTACATTGGAGGATAAGATGTTACTTTAGGACACATGTGGATGATATTTCCGTGATTGTATTAAAAATCAACATTATCATTTACAGTAGATATATCTTTGTATAAATGCTCAGAAGATAATTGTTGATACTTATTATTGACAAGTTGATATCCCTAACTTGGCGTCTGCATCTTACGGTGTGAGAAGGGTCTGAGAAATATCGGGATCTATGTATCATCCCTCTGTCTACCACACATAGATAAATAGTTTTTTTTTTTTATAAAAACCTATACAATGATTGATTGCTGAAACGCGTTCTAATGAGCTTTCGCATGTATGAGTGTGGGATGAAAAGACAAACTCTTAGCCAGTTTATGTGCACACATAAGTGGGCGTGTACTATAATGGGGTATAATATGACTCATGTGTGGGTAAACAGGCTGTTTAATCAATGGATTAGCAGGACGAATTTTATTATTTTATTTATCTCCAGTGTAACATTCTGACATAATAATCTAATTCTGTACCAGGCTGATACTCAGTGGGAATACGTACTGATAATTACACACAAAGAAAAGGTCAGAATGATTACATCGGCAGTACTAGTGAACGGAGATAGTAGTAGCGACAACGGTCATGGTTTACTATCATGTACTGAAACCATCAGAGCAAATCGTCTCAGATACGGTCTAATTAGAACAATTGTCAAATAACATATGAGATATAGCCATGTGTATGTTTGTTATTCAACAAAGGGATACTCATGTTAAACCCACTGTTCTTTTTCACTTGTTTGTAATACGGAACTATATACACCCTCACTCTACGGGTAGGATATATAGACGATTGGCATATTGTTTAATAAGGAAAAAAATCTTACCTGGCTAACGTCAGCGGTGTGTGTGTACTTATCTCACTCCTTTAAACAGCTGACTCGAGTAATCCAGTCTATCAACAGGTATGCATAGAGTAAAACGTACGGAAGTATGTCAAATACCGCACCTGTATCATACACACCTATAAATAACTTTATCCAGAATATTACAAAATAACACGGATGTATTTTTTCTTCCCTATTATCTCCCCTATGCGATTCCACACATGCTTTAAATTCCTGTGGCGACAGGATGCATTAACAAGGGTAAGTGTCGACTGTCATCCCAAGCCCACAAGCCAGAACACCTCTGCTTGTGGAATAATGTAAACCTTCTCTGCTTGTTGTCCTTTTCAGAAGCCCGCAAGCCTGTTTAACACCAACGCGAACGTAGTCATGCGAGTCATTTTCAACTATCCAATTCCCTCGATAAAGTTGATACATTCGTTACGGTGTGATCCCACTGTCTGTAAGGGATGGAGAACAGCGCTTGCCGACCACTAGTCAGAAGTCTGAAGGCTCACAACTTAGTAACAGACACAATTTGTTGTACAACGTTTGATGCTAATGGCTATATAAATACTCCATCGGGGAAGTCAGTATATCGAGCCAAAGTACATTGTATATGTGATGACATTTCCATAGAACAAATTACAAACAACTCTCAGCTTGTTTTACTTGTAACTCAAGCGTTTCTAGACTAATGAAGATATCAATTTGTATTGACTTACACATGTGGAAGGAGTCCGGAGGTGACGTGTTAGGATATTTACACTGCAGCCAACGTGTATTTATACTCACCATGGTATCGTCTCTGGAAGATATACATTTTATAGTATAAAGCTGTCAATGCGTGCAACATCAACACTAATAGACTGTAACATATTAAAATTAATTAATGTCTCATGGGCAATATAAATGGATAATGCATCTTACTAGGCATTAGTCAATATCATTTGTTGGAGTATTTGATAAAGTTCCAAAATAAATAACGTCATGGATTAAGTCTGTTTCATTTTAATTTTAGAAGCATTTATTCTCTTCTAACATGAAATGGGAAGTATACTTTTTAACACATAGATATTGTATGATGTCTTTTGCGAAAATTCACGGTATGCAATTGCATTTTCAGCACAGCAATCCATTACTGTTGCACTTTTTCCACACAGCAATCCGTTATTGTTGCACTTTTTCATCACAATAATTCGTCACTGTTCATTTTATCAGCTCAATAATCCATTAATATTACACCTTTTCAACACAGCAATCCGTTACTGTTACTTTTTTAGCGCAATATTCCGATATAGTTACATCTATTTAAGCACAATAATTAATTACTGTTACACTTTTTCATCACAACAATCCGTCACTATTACACTTGATCAGCACAACAATCCATTATTGCTAACTTTTTCAGCACAACATTCCGTTTTTGTTACACTTATTAAGCGCAACCATCCGTTACCGTTTCCTAAGTGACGAAGATCATAATTAGCAGTACAAGGTGCTTATTGACTGCACTGTTTGAGCAACTTTTCTTGCCTAAATTGCACAACTGAATTAAATTGATAATTATAAAGTCACTGTACCGAAATGGATCATTGAATATGTCCCGTGCAACGTCAATGGGGGTTAAAATTAGTTTGCTGAAAAGAATTGATTTTTCCCAAAGAGATGTCCCCCTCTTCTCCACCTCTGCGATACTCATAAAAGGACTAGATAATCACAAGACATTGAGTGATTCAATCAACCACTTAAAACATATTCCAAATACAACTTGATATCTTATCTAATCTTAACAATACCAACATGGCAGCATAATCATAATCCAAATTCAGATTCCATAAAACTACGGCAAAATATGCGAGGAAAATAAGGTGGGAATAGTAAGCGTCTTCAGTTTCATCGATGACACTCTTCATGTAAACCTTGCTCAATCTAATTAGTAATGTCTCTTTCTCAAATAAGAACAAGGGATACAACAACGGAACCAACAAGCAAACTAGCAAGCATTCAAAACGTCCAGCTACAAGTCTCACAAAGAAATCGAATATTTCTCAATGAAATCACTCATGGCAAAAATCTTGATGATGAACAAGCACTTGGAAATCGAATCAATTGTGACATGTAAATAACATAGGTCGGAGATGCAGGAATATAGCTATCCAGAAAGAGAAAATTCACATTAGAGAAATTGCAATCTCACGTTTGTCATACAGCTTGGTGGAAAGCTGTCCATGTTCGTTTCGTTGGACGAAAAGCTCACCTAACTTAAATCAACAGTTACCATAAACATAGTTGGACCATTGTTAGAGTAGAAGAAGAAAGAGAACTAGTTCTAAGGCCATTTATATTCAGCTGCCGCTGTGTTTGATTGTAATTGATGCCATGAGCCACGAGTAGATGTAGGAAAGTACAGGGGTGTTTCTGTTTTGAAAGTATGGTGGATTGTTAGCTTGAATAGACTTTTGGAGTAAAATATTGCTGATGCTTATAGCATCCACTCCCTTATTTACACCCTAAACTCGAATTGTTGAAGGATCACGGCCATCTGTACAGTTAAAAACCCTGATTTGTGTCCCATCATAAAAAAATTCATGAAGTCTTCACGGAAGTTTCAGGTCTTTAGAAGCAGATATAGATAATATTCATAAACACCAGGACTTATTCTCCCTGTACATTTTAGGAGTACCATATGCTATGTCCTTTGTTAATATCTTGCATATTAAAAGATTGACTAAATGAAATGACCAACATGTCGTAATCAAATTAAACACATATTTTTGTAATCCAACATATCTTAAGAGTAACTGGTTCCTTCTTCACTTACCCTCTATCAGTGTCAGTTTTAATTTCTGTGCAAACGTTCTAGTAGAAAAAGATTAGTGTATTCCTCAATCATGTTTATAAATCCTTGTTACTACTCAGCTTGCACTGCTTTTTTTAACCAAAATGATATATAAAGGGACTATACTATAAATTGAGGCGAACACTTGCTTAATTGGATTTGTTTATTGTCAGAAATAGAACTTAGCTAGCGACTGTAATATCAAAACACAATGCTACCAGTCTTAAAACTTAAAATTCTAAAATACAAAGATCCTAACGAAGCAAGAAGATTTTTTCCATGAAGGCAAAATGCAACATATATAATCCGTATTCAAACGAACAAACAATTTTCAATCCTGATTTACACTAGTAATTTACAAGCATCATGCGAAATAAAAGTGACGTGTAAGTGATAAGTGACGTGTTATTGTTTACAGGATGATAATGTCCCTTGATAGGATAAACATAAATAGTGATTATAACGACTCTTAAGTGTTAAGACATCTATATATACACACCAGAATCTAAGCGTGTTTTTTCGGTTTTTTCAAAAAGATCATGAAACCCAAAATAGCACTAATATAACGACTTCCCACAGTTATTAACACGAGGATATTACTGATATAGAGTTCCTTCGTATGCACATCTGTTATCTATCATATTAACAGTTATTTAAGTTGATCAAGAAGCATATTAATAAAAGTTTGAATTGCACCATGACTTGGTTATACTTAAAGTGTATATGTATCACTAAACATCTGTAGCCTGATCTAGAAACGACTACGCGACTGTTAGCATTAAACAAACATTAAACCAGCCACGCCATGCTTTGAAGCACACAAATATTTGGAACAGACAATTTGTGAATGCAATCACCGTATGCATAAACTGAGAGTACTGTATATCCCACACGAGTGTTCTGACATCACTATCTGTGTCATATTAATATAGGTTTTGTACATTCTCTGAATGTATTTCATTCATACCATAGTCATGTAAGTGTTTAGGTATAAGGGTCTTAATCCCATAATACTCACGCCGATGTTAGTATTCAATTAGTTATCATCTACGACATAAAAACTAAATATATTAAAAATACAAGGATGAGTTTATAGTTCATCCTTTAGCTACCTGCCTGATCTTCCAATGTAATCAAAGTAAAAATGGAACGGTTGAGAAATAAAGCTTGTAGAGCTGACGTAAAACGTTTTCTTTTAAAACTGTCACCAAGCAAAATTATGCGTTGCTATTCACTATATGATTTTTTCACCAGAGAAAAACTTTCATAAACCTAATAAGTTTCATGCAATATGGTTGAAGATCGATGTTATCTTTACCGGAATAAGGATTGAAAAAAATGCTTTTCAACTCCTAATAAAATATCCTTATATTTTATTTCTGGTCGATACAAATGTAATATTCCGGAACACCTGGTCTTATTCTCCTTGTACTTTTTCAGAAGTTTCTGTGTAAGTCTTTCTTTCGTTAATATTTTGCAATAGTTTTATTGAATTCGAGATTGGATTCTGATTATGTTGATTATGTTGATATGATGGTATTTTCTTGTTGTCATTGTATTCTTTGATAAGAGAAAATGATTTGTGGAAACTCCCTTTATTGGACAATTACGATTGTTCTCGGCGTTATAGATTTAGATTTCATATCTATAACGCGGTTATGTGTTTGAGACCAGTTTTGACGAAAGTGGTGCATATGTAGGTTTTGATGTGAGTTATATAGTTTCGTGTTCGAGACTGGTTTAGGCCTAAATGGTTTTATACGTTTTACGTTTTGAGTGAGGGACATGGTCATATGTAGAGATATGCTTTAGAGTGATGTGACAGCTTTTGGTGTAGTCATACATAAAAGACTATATTAAGAGTCAGCAGCAGTTTTGGTGTGGGGAACAGTATTAGAGACTGGTAGTTAAGGCATCAGTGGCAGGTTTTTGTGTGAGAGGCGTTAATGGAACGGTGTCAAAGGCGCTTTCACTGTTAATTCTTCGTTCCCTCTTCTCAACGAAGTACTTCAAGTAGGCCAAGGTGCTTTGGCGTCCTTGCTGCAATGGAAAGTTTGTAATTTTACAAGTGGTAAATATTTGTGAACACAGAACACATTCCAACCAAGTAATAGGTTTAGCTCATGTTTTGTACATCACCCAAATAGCATAAAATACAAGCTCTTTTACTGAAAACCATTGAATTAGTAAAACTCACTCAACAAAATATTGGATGTTTGGGAATAAGTTAATGCCGAATAACATCTGTCTTTTATCTGCCGTACAACTTAGTTATGTAGACTTAATATTTTTGTTAAGGATGCCAGCTCACATTTTCGACACATCTTGAGTTTCCCTGATAGGCTAAGGAAACATGAAACTCTAAATAACGACAGACAATAGACCTTTCTAACCGTAAACAAGAAGTCGATGTCCTTTTCTTCCAAATCGTAGTTATTGCTTCCAACGTACCCGGTGTTGATGCCAACTGTTCGGTCAATATCGTATCCCTGTCTCAAATATAACATTGTTGTGTTTTTATATTGATAAATACTGTTGTATCACGTAACGTATATTATCACATTATGTTATTTCTGTGTGAAATTTCACCACTGTTTCTGCACTTTTTAACGTTCGTAACAGTATGTACTTTTAGTTTATTGAGACTTTAAATTCCGAGTAATATTTATAAAGAAATATTTTTTACTCAAAAAATAGCTAAGATCGAAGAAATACTGCACTTCCTTCAAAAGCTAAACTTTAACAATATAAAGTATCTCTGATAAAAGCAGATTCGAATATAACGATCTTTCAAGTCACTGCATTTGTGAATTGTAAAGCGTTCGACAGGCATGGCAATTGGAAAAAGGATAACACCATGGCCTCA